GTAAACCCGCAGTTCAGGAGATTGGGGTCAGTGGCGGCGAGCACGGCTGTGACAAATGTTCTATGCCGCTTGGTTCGGCACAGATTTCGGACTGTCAGCGGCTGCTGCGACCCTTCGATACGTCAGCTCCAGTAGCAAACCTGAACATGCCAGCACGCACGGCGCCTCTTCATGGTGTCCTCTACTGATGACAGTAGAATGCACCACCTAACCCTGGCAGGAAGGTTGTTTTCCTTCTTTGTAGGATTAAAGTATGGGAAAAGAGCCAGCGTCAAAACCCCTTTTCTTCACCCCCTTAAAAAAAAAACCCGACAACCCCTTCAAATAATGCCGTTCGAGCCGCTCAGTGACGAGAGGCAACGAAATTTAACAGCTCAAGAAAGCGCGAATTCATACCTGTGGTCGGACAACCAGACACATGCTGATTTCCCACTTACATGAGCTTGAAGTTGTTCAGCCTCAGCGCTTCTAGAGACAGCGGCCACCCCATTGGCCATCGCAGACGCTTCTTTTCCGCCCGTGGAAGCGTCACCGTTGCTACCCGGAGCTGGTGACCCAAAGAGAACGTCCGCGCACGTGTCACCATTTACGCTGCCAAGCAAGGAGGAAGCAGAAACAGAACGAGCAGCGTCCAAATCACATAACATCGCTCTTTTCAGCACCAACATAGGAGAGTGCGAATGCTGCCGGAAGAACTGCGGCCTCGATACGTGTCCTTTCTTTGACTCGCTCACCTAAGCACCGGTGCTGCTACGACGGGGGGTGGGGCGGGGGCTCCCGCTGCCGCTGCTGCTGCTTCAGCAGCCCACTCCTCTCGAGCCCGAGCTACCGCGATCGTCCTCTCTGTGATGGAACAGTCAGATGCATGGCGTACGCCGTACATGTCATAATTACAACTACTTTCCCAACATAAATATTACCCTCCCCAAAACCGCGCAAGCAAGAACATATGACACATCAGATGCTTTCTAGGACGAAGACGACAGGGCGGAAACTGAGAAATTGAGTGAGCTTGTGTGCAGAAGCAAGCACAACAATTCGCCATAGGGCGGCTACAGATGCCTGGGGCCGCATCACTGCTGTTGCGCCATCCCAAGAGCAAACGAGGAACACATATTTGTATGTCCAACGGAACATCGAATGCTGTTTTCAATTTAACATCGGGTGTGTTTGGGGGTTGAACGAGAGAATTCGAAAAAGGTCACCTGCCTTGAACTGGTTCGTGAAGTGCCACATACAATGTCTCGGTGGTATTCAACTCTAACAACACACGATGCTAATTAAACATCACCCCGCTGCAATAACGATTACCATTCTAAACGCCATCGTTGTATTGCTTTGGCAAACATATTCTACTTGGGGGACAGCAGTGTAACTATTGTAGGCAAGGTGTGCGGAGCTCTACTTCCACTGGGATCTGGGCAACATACACCGTGCCATGATTCGACTCCACACCTTCAAAGATTTCATGTGCATTGCATTCTCACCTTCCAGCTGGTTCGCGTTGAGGCTTGACAACTTCTCCTGATGCTCCTCGATGACCGCTTCAAGCTGGGTTGCCGAAGCCTTTGCCTCGCACAGCTGTGCCTCGAGAGCGCGCACATCGTTTATCAGTTCAGCACCCTGCTGCCGTGACTCTTCCCAGGCTTTCTCGGCACGTACCTTCGCACTCTCCGCCCTCTCTGCATCGGTTTCTGCTGCAATGCGGGCCTCGTTCACTCGTGTGATGTCGTCCTGAGCCCTGGACAGGGCCGAGTTGGCCACGTTCAGGTCCCGGCGCAGTCCTTCAATGTCTGTCGTGTTATCTTGAGCAGTAAGAACGGCCGCGTTGGCACGCTCCAGTTCCTGACGCAGTCCTTCAATGTCTGTCGTGTTATCTCGAGCAGTAAGTACCGCCGCGTTGGCAAGCTCCAGTTCCTGACGCAGTGCTTGCACACGTACAGAATTCTCTTGAGTGGCAAGCGCGGCCGATGCGTTGACACTCTCCAGCTCCCGGCGCAACTCTTCGGCCTGCGCGGTACTCTCTTCAGCAGCAGATGCGGCCTCTTGCTTCGTGATTGCTAATTCGTCGCGCAGTTCTTGAGCACGTGCAGCATGCTCCCTTGATGCGTCTGCCGTGACCCTCTTTAGCTCGTCACCGAAGTCTTCAGCTTGCTCTGCATATTCCTGCTTCATTGTCAACGCTTCCACCGTAAGTCTCTCCACTTCTTCGCGAAGTCCTTCAGCTTCCTTTGTTGCCACAGACGTGCCGTGCAACGCTCTCTCTGCGTCGCTCTCTGCACGGGTGGCCGCCGCGTCTCTCTCTGTATATGAAACAACGCAACAGTAATGCAAAAAGGGCACCCTATTAACGAGTCGTAAATCTTACCAAGACATTGTCGAGTGTAACGACTTCAACCTTAAGGGGAACTTTAGGAAAATGACTTCCCTTCGTTGGTGTTCTCCACTTGGATAGGCCAAATACACCGTGCAAGAACTTACCGGCGAGCTGACCACGGAGTGTGTGCACGTCCTCCGTTAGTTCCGTCACCTTCTGCATCGACTCTTCAAGCCGTCTCTCCTGCGCGTCTGCGTGCGCACGGAGCTCGCCTAGGTCGGTCGTGGCCTCGGCAACCTCTCCCTGATACACATGGGCGACCTGTGTCAACTCCGTGATTTTCTGCGACGAATCAGCTAGGTCCCTCTCCACTTGGGACGCCTGCAGTCGCGTATCCTGGAGCAGAGTTTCCAGCTCGATTACTCGACCTGATAATTGCTGGACGCTGTTTTCGGCGACGTCTTGCGCTTCATGCCTGCGCTTCGCCTCCCTCTGGGATGTTTCTAGCGCAGCACGCGCCTCCGTGAGGTGTCCCGTGACGGTTCGGGTTTCCTCCTGGGTAAGCCTCAGGTCTTCCTGCACACCCTCGAGCTTTGCTTCTATCGTGGTCGCGATTTCAACAGCAGCACGCCTCGCGTCCTCTCCAGCTTGTGCCGTGGCTTGCGCCGTTGCACAAGCTGCTCGACAGTTCGAGAGTTCGTCGAAAGCTTGCCGTAACTCCTGCGCTTGCTTGGCGGAAGCATCACGGAGAGCGTTTTGCTCCGACTGGGATTTGGCATCTCGAGTTGCAATCTCTTCCCTAAGCTCGGACACCTGCGCCTCAAGTCGATTGCGCAATTCCGCTTCCTGGACTTGCGCTTGCTCTCTAACTAGCTTCGCCGCGGAGTTGGTATCCTGAGCAGCAGCGAAAGCATCTTCCATCTCCTGCACAAACAAAAACACGGACATTGACGTCACATGCGAGCGAGTAGCCGGACAGCCGGAGGTTTGAAGCAACACACCGCAATAAACCGTGTCAGTTCAAGCCAACTTGAACACAACCCGTCATGCACAGCAGCGCCTGTCGAAAAAACTAACTTCGCCAAGGGCAGGGGGGTATTTCAGCACTCCGAGACGCAACTCGTGGTACTATTTAGTGTGCCGACTAACCTTGGTTGCTGACTTGAGCCGGCGTAGCTGGTCAAGAACTGTTGCGTGCTGGCGATGTTCGTCCACATCCTCATCGCTGCCGTCGTTGGTCTTGTCTTGAAAGTCTGGACTGATTGCACCATAAACCTCGAAAAGTCTGCACAAGTTGAACCCCGATCAGTACAGGAATCAGGATCGGTCAGATACTATTTTTCAACCTTGCACAACTCAGTTGGTTAATGACTACACAGAAAAGCCCATGCCGTCTTCTACGCTCTTCACCCATCACAAACACAACCACAAACAAGAGTTTTCATCATTGAGTCTCTTCACAATATCCTGTTGTGCGACAGTACAAGCCTTCGCGTGTCACGAGCAATGCGGCAGTACACGGGACGGTACCTCTTTCTGCAGGTGCTGTTTGCGTCCGTCGCCACCTCCAACCTTGCCTCCGCCTCGTCAACCTTGTCTTGGAACAACGTGTATGTTTCACCCTAGCCAAAACAGCCGATCGAAAGAGAGGATTAGGCCTAAAGCTTCCGGACGCTGACTCGGTGGGGACTAGAATAGAAACAACACCATCAGCATTTCGTTTCCAACTTCCCATATAGAAGGAACGCACAACAGACATCGGTACAACACGGTACAGACGGTCGATTCCGACTAGCATGAGGTGCCAGTGTCTGCTGCCACTGCGTGGGTCACTGGCGCTGAAGAGTATCATTTGGAACCTCCCTACAGCACTGCCGCCCCATATGCGCACTCTTGCATTTAGCTTCGCGTGTTATTAGGTGGTCAGACTACAGATTCGAAGGGGAAGGCCGGAAGCCCACAAAGAGTTGCAACACCAGATGGGTGCCCGTCCAACCAAAACGATTGCGGTCGCACCATGGTTTCTGTAGGTTGAGGGCAAACGTGACTCACCTTCTTGATGACTTCCATTTGATTCTCTAGCTCCCTGGCCAGCGAGTACCAACGTCCCTCGTCATCAGCAAGTTTTTCATTTGACGTCGTAAGGCGGGCGACTTCGGCCTCCAGTTCCTTGTTGTCTGCCCTTACCGCCTTCACCTTTTCCCATTTGATCGGAATACAAAGAGCACGAAGGAACGACGGTCGGCGGGCTACGAATAGGCTCACCGTGAGAGGGTGTTTTGGAAGAAAGGAAGGGAATACCACATGGTAGGCGTAACAGCAGCCCAGCATCTATGTGATACACTTGCAGATTCCCGACCTGTAGCAAAACTTTCGACCGTCCTCAAAGGACACAACGGAATGTGGATCATTCCCCCGCTAGTTTCCAACCATGTTTATTTTTTTTTTTAGTTTCGGCGAAACCATACCTGGTTAAAGAGCGCAGAGAGATTGGGCCGACACACAGCAGCAGTCGTCTCGACTCGATAGAACTACAGTCACCTGTTTGCTGAGCTGCGTTGCCATGTCATCCTGTGCGGGTATGGACAACAGCAGTCCCTCACCTTTTACATCTACTCTTTTGAGAAAAACTGATGCACAAGGAATCTCTCGACTTTTCGTTGGTGTCGGCCCCGACAAGTGAAAGCGATCGTTATTTTTCAACAAAGCAACGACTGGATATCTGGGTGTTGTATCGGAGAGATAATGGGCCGGCAGACCGCAGGAGTCTCGACTCGAGTAAACTACAGGCACCTGTTTGCTGAGATGCCTGACATCGTTTTCTCTCTCTGCTAGCGCTTCGCCCGCATGCACGTACTTGTCCATGATTTCCATCATCATGTCCTGAGGAACGCGCCAAGGAACACGTTGGGACGACCGTCAGTTTTGTGTCATCGTTCGGTCTCATTCTTGAGCATGCAACATTTTCAAACTCTACACGTGGTACTCGGCCACAAGGTCTATACGACCTGCTGTTCCTCGCTTCCTGCTGGTGTGAACAGGAAAGGTTCTACTTCGCCGGTGTTACAGCAGTGCTTTCCCTGCGATTCGATGCTGCTGAACATTTCACGGCTACCTATGTATGTGAAACAGGGACTCTCCGCAGGTTTCACCTCTGGTCCCTTTGACGTAGTACCCACGAATCCATCCTCTTCTGCCCCGTCAGAGTCGTCACCACCCTGCGCAAGAGTTAGAGTCAGGCGTAGACCGAGGTTTGCGCTGTGTCCAGAGACGCAAGAGCGGAGCAACGAACCGTGCGTGGCCTACTACAGAAGTGCTTCTGAAGGCGAATGAGAGAAATGAATACACACGCTACTGCTGTAAACCCGTTGCGCACCTGTACCGACACACTCGTGGCAACCAGGTTTGAGTGCCGAAAGTCTTTCCATGCCATCGATGTCTTCATTTTCCCACACACCGTGTGACGGCGTATTTTCTCGGTGTGGGGCGGGGGTTGGTATGTGTGGACCCCACCACCCCACCCGCGTCGACACGAGGAGCCGGAGTGCGGCAGAATACCGGGATCGTGGAGACGACAAGATGCGTAGCGAGGAGTAGATGCAGGACTCTTGCCGTACAGCAAGGATTGCCGAGATGCTCGGAAGTGGCTGATCAGCTAGAGCGAACGACCCTGGGTGATAGTTTCCTCCCCGGCTCTTTCCTCAAGGGAGGCTAAGACAGAAGAGCTGGTGCCATATTTCATTTGCAGTCGCACAACCCGCGGGGCGACGCAGGTGTAGCGATGATGACACCGAGGGAGGGTCGCGCGAGGGGTACACCGGACTGCAGAAGGTTGCGGTTCGTCTCTCCAGCGGTTTCAGATTGCAAACGCACACTGCTGCACTAGGTACAGGACGCGACGACACACACGGAGCATAGCCGGTTAGCGCGATGCTGATAGTAAATTGGTATCGCAGCTTGCCTCGGGCAACCGTGCTGGTCCTCTAGGAGTTGTTTTGTTGAGGTGAGGTAGTATGCGGTGCTGCAGGTGTGAGAAGGAGGTGGATATTATATAAAAGGGAAATAGACACAAGTGGGTATACCCACCCCTTTCTCGGACAAAAGTGGGTACTCGAAAATCCAGCGTGCGCGCACTCCATAGGCGACCCCCAAACGACTCAAAACCCCATTCTGACACCTGGGCGACACAGCCAAGGACCATACACAGCATGGGCATCGATTTTTCCCCACTTTTAGGCACACCTTTGGCCCTAATACCGCCGACGCGCGCAAGGCCTCACCAGAGTGCCCACTTATGTCCGACATCGCGGTGGGTATACCCACCGGCGTCAACTAATTTTTTCATGTACCCACTTGTGTCTGTATTTTGACCCACTTTTGTCCAAATTGTACCCACTTTTGTCCACTTACGGACGGCGGAAATCGAGCGGAAATCGACCTCCACGTCACCGCACGGCAGAACATCGAATAGACTCGGAACGTCTCAGAACCTCCCAAAACCATATCCATGGCATCTTTCCTATCCATGGCTGCCGACTGCGGACCGACCACGGAGGAACATGTCAGAAACATGCCAGACCCCTTCGGTACCGGCACGGGAAGATACCAGGCACGGGAAGATACCCGCGGCAAGCCCGGCAAGCAGCGCACTAACGGCACGCCACACATAAATGCGTGACACACAACGGACAACACAACCAACGGACAACACAACCAACGGGTCGCGCGTACAGAACAAAAAGACGCGCAAACAGCAACAACACACACACACACAAAAACACTAACCACCACGACAAGTGCACACCGACTCGTCACGGCAGCAGTCGGCTTGCCGCGGGTATCTTCCCGTGCCTGGTATCTTCCCGTGCCGGTACCGAAGGGGTCTGGCATGTTTCTGACATGTTCCTCCGTGGTCGGTCCCGCAGTCGGCAGCCATGGATAGGAAAGATGCCATGGATATGGTTTTGGGAGGTTCTGAGACGTTCCGAGTCTATTCGATGTTCTGCCGTGCGGTGACGTGGAGGTCGATTTCCGCTCGATTTCCGCCGTCCGTAAGTGGACAAAAGTGGGTACAATTTGGACAAAAGTGGGTCAAAATACAGACACAAGTGGGTACATGAAAAAATTAGTTGACGCCGGTGGGTATACCCACCGCGATGTCGGACATAAGTGGGCACTCTGGTGAGGCCTTGCGCGCGTCGGCGGTATTAGGGCCAAAGGTGTGCCTAAAAGTGGGGAAAAATCGATGCCCATGCTGTGTATGGTCCTTGGCTGTGTCGCCCAGGTGTCAGAATGGGGTTTTGAGTCGTTTGGGGGTCGCCTATGGAGTGCGCGCACGCTGGATTTTCGAGTACCCACTTTTGTCCGAGAAAGGGGTGGGTATACCCACTTGTGTCTATTTCCCTATATAAAAATACAAGGTCTCCCTTCGGGACGTGGGTGTCTACCCTCCCTCAGGTGACGCAAGACCACATGCGCACTCTGTGTGTCTTACAACGCTTGTATTTCCGCACAAAACATCGCGCAGTTATTCTACATTGGAGCCAGCTGGAGCGGACAATAATTTGGCAGCGAAAACTCAGACTTCCATGATGTCTTTGATTGATGATGGCAGATTTCCGATGAGAACCGAATTTGAAGCCGAAACAACACCACAAATGGGACATGTTCAACACTGCGGCTAATGCATGCTCTCAGACTTGTCTACACTTGGGCCGCTGCGAAGTGTAGTAAACGTAGGTACTGCTGTTGGACAATGCGATGACACGAAGAGTCACAGCCATGAATCATCGAATGAATGAATGAATGAACGAACGAAAGTAGAGAAGCAAGAGACAAAAATTTCAAACCGTCGTATTTGATGGGTTTGATAGGTTTCAGAATTGGTTCGCCAGGCTTTGTCAGCGCGGAACGCGTCCCCGGGGTTTTGAGCCAGTTTCGCACCTTTGGCCGTCAACCACACGCGCCACGGGTCCTACCGAGCTCCAGGCACGGGCGTTAATATACCAACGAGCCTCCTGCGTGCCCCTGAGAAGGACCCGCGAGAAAAGACTCGCTGCCGCGAGAGAAACAAACGCCGAAGCATGAAAAGTGACCAAATCTTATATGTACATATGGCTATTATATGAGTTCATTGCTAATACATATATTAGACTCCCTAGATAGAGATGGATTCGTTGGGTCATATTTAGAAAATTAAAAATAATACGGTAATCATTTGTGCGCTCCTTGCTCTCTACAGTCATCGTCCACGATGATACCGGACCTTGCTTGCATGTTTCACGCCTCACACGCCCCGCCCCGCCCCCCCGCTTCGTGCGCATGTACATACGACTCGTTCAATTGCACGAATGAATGCAGATGAATGATTTTTTAAATATTTTGTTGTATCACTTATTTTATTTATCAATGGTCGTCCCATAGCTGACCTACCGGTATGGTCTTTTCAACAGAACACAACGCGCGGCATGCCGCAACATCACGCGAAAGACGCTCCTGTCAAAGGTTGTGGTCTACCGTTTCTATTACCATCCATCCATGATAATGCCTCTATTGTAGCAACGTTAAGGCCTACTCTCAAAACGGCCGCGACAAAATGACACACACAAAAAAATAACAATAAGTTACAAGAGACGAGCACATATTATGCTGCCAGTGAAATAAATTCTTCTCATGCCAAATACAAATGATGTAGCATACATGAAATGATCGACCCTGTCTTTACTTTTGGTCCACGCTGCATACTAAAGGGAGAGGTAGCCATACCTTCTGCCTACACACGGGCGAGAAAGGTAACCATACCCACTGCTTAACACACACCCACATGTCGGTGATGAAACCTCAACCACACGCCTCTATCGGCGACCACGTCAGGAGGCAATGATGAAAGGATGTTCTCCCGTGCCATTTGCACATCTGACAACACGAAATTACACAAAAAGGTAAGAAAATGGTGAGGCCACTCCCGTGTGTCCGCACATACTCCGAAATGTGTCCACACATACACATACCCGGTACATACGCGTACCACATTGAAAAATACGTTTGTAAACTGAGGGAGATTGCATACCCTACGACTAAACGGGTGCCACACACAAAACGCCCGACCAGTACCTAACACATCCTCTGCACCTTCCCAACATAACATATATGAGACACACAAGACAGCTACCAAACTGTCTTGTTGAGCCTGTTACCCGCAGGGGAGATGTCCCTATATGCTGTCTGGGAAATCGTAGACATACAGGTACTTTCTGACGCTATGAATTCATTGCTAGTCTGTGTCAGACTCTATGATAGAGATTGATTCGTTGTGTCATATTAAGAAAAATAAGAAAAGGTTGTCGAAGTCCCTCTATTCGGGCGAGCGAAATAATTTCAAGAACAAATAAATGTAACCGCCAAACGCGGCGGCGGAATATGCAGCCTCCGCGGGGCAAAAGTGACAGAGGTGTGCACCGACCCTGTCCTTGACAGGCTAATCCCGGCCTCGAAGTGGGTAGTCCCGTCGTAGATTGGATTTGATGGCAGGTAGACGCCTACATGCACGCGTTAGTTGTTCGAGATCGAAGTTATTGTGCAATGAATGCATATAATTGTAGATGGGTGTGTTCCGACGAGAAAAGAGAGAGTCATCAATCATCAACTTGTCGTGTGCGTGCGGCATGCGGCGGAATGAACTCCGCGAAAGGTTGCAGCGGTGTGACCCGAACCTCTCGTTGGCAGGCAAAACCGGTGGACACACAGGTACTCCAGCGTCGAAGGACTTGTCAATTCATGCTGCTGTAGATTGGACGGGGCTTCAATTTGGTGGAGAATAAGCGACGTTTAGGTTCGAGTTCATGGAGATCGGAGCAGTTCGGTGCGGGAAGCTCCTGCTGCATCCTCGTGCTGTTTCATCTGCTGAATACTCTTATTGCTTCGTGCTTGAGACGGCGGGTCAGTGACACATCCAAACGTTAACGCAGGAGGCGCCAATCGAGCTGGAGCTTGCTGAGGGCGTCTAAAGTAGTGCAGGACGGCCGATGGTATGATCCCTCACGCCTCGGGCATTCGCGTCAAAAACGTGCGTGGTTCGGAGCTTCGGACTGAACGTGATCTTTCATTCATTCATTTTTCACAGTTTTTTTACCGTTCTGTGAGACCTCTAGAGACCGTAGCGGTGTCCTAGAGGAAAACTCACGGACATTCGTGTACAACAACTCACGACATCACGACAATGTTGTAACGATTGTAACCCAGCTTGCCTCGGGCAACCGTGCTGGTCCTCTAGGAGTTTTTTTTTTAGGTGGTATGAGGTGCTGCATGTGCGAGAAGGAGGTGGATAATAATAACGTGGCAAATCGTTTGGGTGTCAAACATGGTACAACTTTATGTCGAAGGAGCGCGCGCGAATAACAAGAACAAATCATGATGTGTCCGTCCAAACACGGCGGAATAATCTAT